AAACCTAAACAGCATCTTAAAAAGCAGACACATCACCTTGCCGACAAAGTTCCGCATAGTCAAAGCTATGGTTTCTCCTGTAGTGATGTATGGAGCCTCTTCATGGATTGCTGCCTTGTCGTGGCGAAGGGGCTTGAGTAACTCAGAAAAGCTATGGGCTATGCCATGCAGGGACACCCAAGACGGACAGGACATAGTGGAGAGTTCCGACTAAACGCAATCCACCTGGAGTAGGGACTGGCAATGCCACTCCAGTATCTTTGCCAAGAATGCCCCATGATCAGAAACAAAAGGCTAAAAGATATGACGCTGGAAGATGGGACCCTCAGGTCGGAAGGCGTCCAACATGCTACTGAGGAAGAGTGGAGGACAAGTACAAGTAGCTCCAGAGCTAATGAAGTGGTTGGGCCAAAGCCGAAAGGACGCTCAGCTGTGGATATGCCTGGAAGTGAAAGGAAAATCCAATGCTGCAAAGAAAAATACTGCATAGGAACCTGGAATGTAAGATCTATGAACCTTGGGAAGCTGGAGGTGGTCAAACAGGAGATGGCAAGAATAAACATTGACATCCTGGGCATCAGTGAACTAAAATGGACAGGAATGGGCGAATTCAGCTCAGATGATTATCATATCTACTATTGTGGGCAAGAATCCCGTAGAAGGAATGGAGTAGCCCTCATAGTCAACAAAAGAGTGGGAAGAGCTGTAATGGGATACAATCTCAAAAATGATAGAATGATGTCAATACGAATCCAAGGCAGACCTTTCAACATCACAATAATCCAAGTTTATGCACCAACCAGCATTGCTGAGGAGACTGAAATTGAACAATTCTATGAAGATTTACAACACCTTCTAGAACTGACACCAAAGAAAGATGTTCTTCTCATTCTAGGGGACTGGAATGCTAAAGTAGGGAGCCAAGAGATAAAAGGAACAACAGGGAAGTTTGGCCTTGGAGTTCAGAACGAAGCAGGACAAAGGCTAATAGAGTTTTGTCAAGAGAATAAGCTGGTCATCACAAACACTCTTTTCCAACAACACAAGAGGCGACTCTATACATGGAAATCACCAGATGGGCAATATCGAAATCAGATTGATTATATTCTCTGCAGCCAAAGATGGAGAAGCTCTATACAGTCAGCAAAAACAAGACCTGGAGCTGACTGCGGTTCTGATCATCAGCTTCTCATAGCAAAATTCAAGCTTAGACTGAAGAGATTAGGAAAAACCACTGGGCCACTCAGGTATAATCTAAACCAAATCCCTTATGAATACACAGTGGAAGTAAAGAACAGATTTAAGGAACTAGATTTGGTGGACAGAGTGCCTGAAGAACTTTGGATAGAGGCTCGTAACATTGTCCAGGAGGCAGCAACGAAAACCATCCCAAAGAAAAGGAAATGCAAGAAAGTAAAGTGGCTGTCCAACGAGGCCTTAGAAATAGCAGAGAGGAGAAGGGAAGCAAAATGCAAGGGAGATAGGGAAAGTTACAGAAACTTGAATTCAGACTTCCAAAGAATAGCAAGGAGAGACAAGAGGGCCTTCTTAAATGAACAATGCAAAGAAATAGAGGAAGATAACAGAAAAGGAAAGACCAGAGATCTGTTCAGGAAAATTGGACATATTAGAGGAACATTTTGCGCAAAGATGAACATGATAAAAGACAAAAATGGGAGGGACCTAACAGAAGCAGAAGACGTCAAGACGAGGTGGCAAGAATACACAGAGGAATTATATCGGAAAGATTTGGATATCCCGGACAATGCAGACAATGTAGTTGCTGACCTTGAGCCAGACATCCTGGAGAGTGAAGTCAAGTGGGCCTTAGAAAGCCTGGCTAACAACAAGGCCAGTGGAGGTGATGGCATTCCAGTTGAACTATTTAAAATCTTGAAAGATGATGCTGTTAAGGTGCTACATTCAATATGCCAGCAAGTTTGGAAAACTCAACAGTGGCCAGAGGATTGGAAAAGATCAGTCTACATCCCAATCCCAAAGAAAGGCAGTGCCAAAGAATGCTCCAACTACCGTACAATTGCACTCATTTCGCACGCTAGCAAGGTTATGCTCAAAATCCTGCAAGGTAGGCTTCAGCAGTATGTGGACCGAGAACTCCCAGAAGTACAAGCTGGATTCCGAAGAGGCAGAGGAACTCGAGACCAAATTGCTAACTTGCGCTGGATTATGGAGAAAGCCAGAGAGTTCCAGAAAAATATCTACTTCTGCTTCATTGACTATGCGAAAGCCTTTGACTGTGTGGACCACAGCAAACTATGGCAAGTTCTTAAAGAAATGGGAGTGCCTGACCACTTTATCTGTCTCCTGAGAAACCTATATGTGGGACAGGAAGCAACAGTTAGAACTGGTCATGGAACAACTGAGTGGTTCAAAATTGGGAAAGGAGTACGGCAAGGCTGTATATTGTCCCCCAGCTTATTTAACTTATATGCAGAATACATCATGCGGAAGGCTGGACTGGAAGAAACCCAAGCCGGAATTAAGATTGCCGGAAGAAATATCAACAACCTCCGATATGCAGATGATACCACTCTGATGGCAGAAAGTGAGGAGGAATTAAAGAACCTTGTAATGAGGGTGAAAGAGGAGAGTGCAAAAAACGGTCTGAAACTCAACATCAAAAAAACTAAGATCATGGCCACTGGTCCCATCACCTCCTGGGAAATAGAAGGGGAAGATATGGAGGCAGTGACAGATTTTATTTTCCTGGGCTCCATGATCACTGCAGGTGGAGACAGCAGCCCTGAAATTAAAAGACGCCTTCTTCTTGGGAGGAAAGGGATGACAAATCTTGACAGCATCTTGAAAAGCAGAGACATCACCTTGCCAACAAAAGTCCGAATAGTCAAAGCTATGGTTTTTCCTGTTGTGATGTATGGAAGTGAGAGCTGGACCATAAAGAAAGCAGACCGCCGAAGAATTGATGCCTTTGAATAGTGGTGCTGGAGGAGGCTCTTGAGAATCCCCTGGACTGCAAGGAGAACAAACCTATCAATTCTAAAGGAAATCAACCCTGAGTGCTCACTGGAAGGACAGATCCTGAAGCTGAGGCTCCAGTACTTTGGCCATCTAATGAGAAGAAAAGACTCCCTGGAAAAGACCCTGATGTTGGGAAAGTGTGATGGCAAGAGGAGAAGGGGACGACCAAGGATGAGATGGCTGGACAGTGTCTGCGAAGCAACCAGCATGAATTTGACACAACTCCGGGAGGCAGTAGAAGATAGGAGGGCCTGGCGTGCTCTGGTCCATGGGGTCACGAAGAGTCGGACAGGACTAAACGAAACGAAAATGATGTATGGAACTGAGAGCTGGACCATAAAGAAAGCTGGCCGCCGAAGAATTTATGCTTTTGAATTGTGGTGTTGGAGGAGGCTCTTGAGAGTCCATTGGACTGCAAAGAGATCAAACCTATCATGTGAAGAAAATCAACCCTGAGTGTTCACTGGAAGGACAGAAGCTGAGGCTTCAATACTTTGGCCATCTCATGAGAAGAGAAATCTCCCTGGAAATGACATGTTGGGAAAGAGTAAAGGCAAGAGGGGAAGGGGATGACAGAGGACGAGATGGTTGGAAAGTGTCCTTGAAGCTACCAACATGAATTTGACCCAACTCTGGGAGGCAGTGGAAGACAGGAGGGCCTGGTGTGCTCTGGTCTATGGGGTCATGAAGAGTCGGACAGGACTTAACGACTAAACAACAACAACAATTGTCAAAGTGGGTCTACCGTGGGTTATACAAAGGAGTCTAATTTCACATATCTAATCTGGCTCATTATTTAATAAATTGCCCTTTCATTTGGTATTGGTTGGATTGCGGGCAAAGGAATGACAATTCCAGTATATATAGTGCTGTATGAAAAACATGAATAACAGACCAGGAATTTTTTTCCCACGTATGCAGATAGTATTTCTGTGCAGACAGATAAGGGAGATTGATTGTAAACTATTCTGGACTGACAGCATACTCTGCTTTGCTTGCATCACAGAAAGTCTGATTACATAAAATAAGACAATAACTATTGCAATATTTCACCAGCAAGTTTCAACAACCTTTACTTAGAAAGGTAAAGGTTATGGGGAAATTCTTGCATAAAGGTTGAAGTCCCCAGTCTTTTCTTTCCTCTGTCACCTCTCAACTTCAATACAGAATTGCTTTTTAGGGACTTAGCATCTTCCACCCACTCTCTTTCTATGCCACACTTTAAGCAGCTTCTGTAACTTCAAGAGGCTTGGGAAGGAAGTGGGCGTTGGAAATGAAGGCGATGGCAGAACCAGGGGTTGGGAATATCTTGAAATCAGGAAAATACCCTTAATTGAACATGCATAAGGCTTTAAGTTTTGGACATAGGAAGTGATTGCACAAATTGTCTCTCCAAATTTTTTAGTTCATGAAGTACAGTAGTGGAAATGCTTGAAGATTACCTAGAGGTGCTCCTATTTCTGCCTGCCCTGATGTGGGGTCCTCTATATCCATCAGGAGATTAGGAGGTTGATCAAACATTCTAGAGGAAAAGAGAAATAGAATTGTTGTTGTAGGTTTTTCGGGCTGTTTGGCTGTGTTCTGGAGGTTTTTCCTTCCTAACGTTTCACCAGTCTCTGTGGCCGGCATCTTCAGAGAACAGGAGTTAGAACTCTATCTGTGTTCCCACACACTACACCAGAACAAGTATATGGATAAGTTTATCAAACAGAAAATAGCCTGAAATTGATGGAATTTGGCCTCTTCCAGTCCTAGGATCCTGTAAATAATACCTTTTTTTCCAGTTGCTTTCTCAAATGCTTGCAAGGATCTTTGGAAAAGTAGCAGATGAGCATACTGTATATGCGTTTGCCTTTGAAAACAAAATGGGTCAATTTCTGAGGTTGTACAGATGACACGTGTTTCGTGTACCTTGATTTTCAATGTTCTAGGTTTGTTTGGCATGCCTGTGACACTCTGCCTTCTTCTGAAGTTTTTACTGCGGCTCTTGCTTCCCACAGGGACCTTTGTGTCAGCCTTCACTGTGTTGTGTGGAGCCCGGACTGACCTTCCTGACAGGCACATTTGCTGTGTGTTCTGGCTGAATATTGCAGCAGCTCTGATTCAAATTCTCACAGCAATTGTGATGGTTGGCTGGATCATGAGTATATTTTGGGGAATGGACATGGTCATTCTTGCCAGTAAGTAGAGATAATCTTTTTTTCCCCTTATACAAATACAACTGAATTTTTTTGGGGGGGAGAGGGGGGAGTAGCTATGCTGTCCAAATTCAGTTGCTCTCTCACATTGACAAGCAATTTGTGCGTGTGTGGTGGAATTTATTTATAGGTTGTCACCTTCTTTCCTGCTCCAATATTGTATATCAGACTGAGGCAGGAGGATTATTTGGTGTACAACCAGTGGCTATGCTGGTAGAGGGATTTGAGATGTTACAATTTTTAAAAAAAGTAACATTGCCAATTTTTGCTTGACCTTAAGTAAATGGGTGCAGACGCTAGATTAGAAAAGGCTACCTTAGATATGATATTCCAATAATGAAATACATCTGCTTATTAATTTATAGCATGGTGGTAAATTTCTTTATTTGCAAAAGGTACTGTAATTTTTTACAATATTAGGAGCTGAAAAAAAGCAATCTTTAATTCCGCTTGCTCAGTTCTTGACTGTAGAATGTCTGGTTTCTGTTTACTTTCTTACCATTCCACAGCAGGACCTCTGTATCTGGGGTGGAGGTGGGGGTTCAATTCCACAATCTACCATGAATACCTGAAACTCCAGATATCAGGGAATCCTTTGTATAACATAAAAGGGGAAGGGATGAAGGCTACAAGGAGGGACTATTTTATGTTGCGTATGCAACACAGGCAAACCATGGATACATGAAACCGGGGATACCGATCTCGCAGTTATGGTGATCCTACTGTATCTATGTAATCCCCACCCTGCCCCCACTCTACTTATGTCAGGACTTCCCAAACTGTGTGCTATGGCTCCAGGGGGAGCGATGAAACCCAGGCAGGGGCACCACGGGAAAAGGGATGAAACATAGAGCTATGAAGACAATAGCTCTATGAACAGGTCCTCCACACAGCCTGCAGAGCTCTACGTCTAATAGGAACAGAAAGTGGAGGCAGTGTGCCTGCCTCACGTTTCCCCATCTCTATGGTCCTCCGTGGAAGTGCTTGCTGGATATCCTCAGGAGTTTCCTGTAACAGGATCTAGAAGGAGGTGGCCCCTCAGGGATTTTTTGGGGGGTGGATGGGGAGGTGGGATGGCTGGGTGGTGGTGGTCAAGATCCTGCTCCTGGTGGGAGAGAGAGCCCTAATGGCCCCTCTGAGCAAGGGAGCTGCAGCCAGTGGCCAGAAAATGGAGGGAATAGTGAGCCCAAAATATCTGGGAACCACTGACTTCTGCGCTTGAATTGTTTCTGATGGTCTTTCCTTTTCTCTTTCCATGTTACTTTCATGCTCTTTAAATGAACAACAAAGTTTCACAAGGTAGGCTTGTTCCTCAACTATGTTTTTTACTTGATCCATTTCTACTTAATGAAAAATTATGATTAATATGTTGATAATCCACTGGACCTAGTCTGCATTTGGGGCACTTCTCTGTAAAAAAAAAAAAAAGACGTTATTTTTGATGTAATTTGTTTCTGTTTTATTATGTCTTCCTACATATTCCCATCAATATGAAAAAGTTATGCTGGAAACAATAATAATGTGTAAGCTAGGCTTGCACTGTACAAAACTTCATAAAACAATTCCCTGCAATTTAAACAAAAATGACAAAACAGCACAAAAATCAATTCTCTACCTTTATTTCAAGAACAATTTGCCAATTTCATGAAATGATTCAGTAAGTGTTGCAGAGTTTTGAATTTTTGGTTAAATTCCTACAGCAGAAGTGTAGGAATTCACAAAGCAGAATTGATTCAAGTTTCCCTGATTAGTCACCCCTATTCTCATTAACTGGCACTTACAGTCTCAATAACTCACTCTGAGATACTTGTAGGATAAATAATAAAAAATATTTAAGTACTTGGAGATCAACAGCAAACTGACAAACATGGCTGCCTTCAACAACAAACTTCACCAGACCACAGAGAGGGGAAAAAGCAATGAACAAAGAGACAGGGCTCTCTTGTGAATTCAACCCAGCCCAGAAAGGTCCCTCTTAGCCAAACCTTTTCCAGGCAGGCATGCGAGCTTGTAAGAACTCCAACAATAAGCAAGCCACTTCAGGATATTGGTAAATTAATCACTTCTTCTGTTCTTCAGCAAAGGGGCAGGTGAAGTGAATTTTTAAAGGCTGTGTAATAGACCATTGCTTATGGACTACATCAGTTGTGTGTGTGTGTCTCCCCCGCCCCTTTGCTTCATCTTAAAGAGCCAGTTGAGAAACCTCTTGCAATTGTATACACTGCAGTGGCTTTGGGTGCAGGCAGTTTCTCAACCAGTTCTGTAAAAGGAGGCAAAGATGGGTTGGGGGAGGGATTTCTGTGTGAACGAGAGGGCTTGATTAGAGCAACCTAATTAAGCCCAACCATTCAAAAGAGACCCAAACTAACTTGCTCCCTGCAGGTATAGCTGCACCCTAAGGGAAAACAGTCTTAGCAGGGCTGCATGCTGAGAAGTTATATGCAAGGAATGTCGAGTTTTGAAGACAATGCTTATACATCCTTCAGGCTCCTTCTTGTACTTCTAATGTGCTGGAGCATGGGCAACTAGCACATAGAAATGCTTTGAGAATTTAAAAGTAAGACATATTACCAGTGTTAATCAACCTTTTCAATCTGGTTCCCCACTGGCCATGGTGAAGTCTGACATATCTGAGTAGCATCCAGTTGGAGAAGGCTTGGGCAAATTAAATAATATTGCTTTGTATTGATGGGCTCTGGTAATAACTAGGTGTGCATACTTTCTATGCCCCGTCTAAAAAAAAGTGCTATGATATTTGGCTTTTGTTTCATGGATAAACCACACAACATTTGCACAGAACTGCTTTTATTTTGTTATGCTTTTGCCCAAGAAAGGGGAAATGAATTCTCAGCCTCTATCCAACTTGTTGACTTGACATGTACAACAAGTACTGTTAATATATTTGAAGCAGTATTTTTCAATCCTAGGAGCTAAAAAAATAGAGCTAAATTCAATTGTTACTCCAAACTGAACTAGGCCCATTGAGGCAAGGAAACATAATCATTGACTCCAAAGTTCCCATTTATTCAATGGAACTACCCTAACTGGGATGAAAAAATAGATTTAGGCCATCTTTTTTTTAAAATACTTAAACAAATGCTGATATTCTCTAGACACTGAATTCCACCTAATGCTGTACTCTCAGTGCGTTTGCAAAATATGTATAATACGACTTGGGTGGGAAAATCAGTTGAAGAAAATTCTTCTCCTTTGTACTCATTGTTACTATCTTCCATCAGCAACTCCATGCAATCTTGTAGTGCTCCAGAGGGCTAAGAGTACTACCAGTATTGTTTTATAAATATTTTGTGCTTGGGTACTAGCAACAAAATAAAATACAAACTTTTGTCTTCCACCTCTCGGGTGGTTCTTAAGATCCCAAGCTATTTCTGATGTTGTTTCAGCATTAGGGAGCAGAAAAATAACTCCATGCCTATATCTCTTTTTTGCTGTTTCTTTCTCATCTGTCCAGCGGAGCGGAGATGCAGAGCAGCAGAGAACGACCTTCACTGATCAGTCTGATTGCCTACTCCATGATGGAGATACTGGCACATGGATGTTCAGACTGGCACAGCCAACACACCAGTGTGACAGGCAAGCCATTGGAGGAGCGGGAGGGAGCCACTGGTTAGGCTGATGCTGAGGAGGACGACTACTGAGCAAACATCCAACAGAAGGGCACCTGTTGGCTAGAGATGTTGCTGTTTTCTCCATCTACTGGATGGGGAGCACCAAGAAACATTTCACCACCTTTCTGACTCACTGAGAAAACAGCCCTTGTGTGCATATCAAAGAAACAGAGAGTAATATTTATAGATATATGTACAGAGATGTAAAAGCAAAGAGACAGTATTCAACTATTTCTGTGGTGCAGCAGAGAATGGTTCAAATCATGACTTTTAATGTGTGTGTGTGTGGCTTTTAATGGTGATTGTTGAAGATTGATTTTCTGTGGCCATCTTGAGGTTTTGCTTGCTAATTTTGAAAAACGTCTGCCTTTGTTCAGGTAACTTAGGCTTGGCTCTTTGTGTACCCTGCCGTCTTGCTGAATCTTGAAAAGACCAAGATCCATAATCACTCCGTGATTTTCTGTAAATGCCCCATTTTTGACTGGGGATAGAAAGGGCTGGTTTTACAGGAGTATGAAGTGCAGAATTAGTTTTGTTGTATTTTATGGGGCATGGGAGAGACTTTCCCTTAGTGGGTTCTCAAATGTTCTGTGCCACTTTTTGGAATGTATACATACAACAGATTGTGTTTTGTAACCTGTGTATAGTAAAGCTGTGGCCTCCTTATCTACTTGCTAGTGTATTTGCTCACATACCTAGCTATTGGTGCAACAAATCAACACTTCCAGATTGGACAAACATAAGACTGTGGGTTAAATGGGAGAAAGATATCCATCACACATCTCAATGTTCTACCAGCAGGTCTTTTAGAACCAAGTGAAGGAATGTCCCATCGCTTCAGATGAGAAAGGGAAGCTCCCTTTACTGTCCTAAACTCCATGAACACATGATTTTATTACTGATAACTTCCTGAGTCTCTTGGGTATTTGCTCATTTCTGGCCAAGCCTGATCAGAATCCCTGATCTGTGATTTGTGGGGAGCATAATAAGCCACTTTACAATCAGCATGGTTTAGTATAGTACATAGTGTATCTGTCAGGTTTGGATTGGGGAGACTGGGGAAATTCTGTTCAACCTGTGACGTTGCAAAGTAATTCTATTTTAACCTAGTCTCAACTTCACAGAGTTGCTACTAAGGTAGGGTGAGAGGGATGGAAGCCATGGATCCTGTTTCAGTTCAGGAATCATTAGATACTTTCAAAGAGTGGTGGGATGACCATTTGCAAGGATGCTTTAGATATACTGTAGTTTTGCTTCATTGGCATGAGGATCTGTTCCAACTGCGATTGTACAAATGAAAAGGTAAAGTGGTATTCATTAAGTGGATCTATGTTTTTTCTCTTTACTTTTCCACTGGTTGAAAGGAAGGCTATCAATTGGTGGATAGCCTCCATGCAAGGGAGAGCAATTATTACTTTTTATGGAGTACAGCTCCAAAATATCTATATTCTGGAATTTGGGGAGGGGGAAAATCCTTTCCCTTATCTCTGGAGTCAGTCCTCAGTAGGGACAAAGTTACCATTAAACAGAGCTTGGAAATTTGCTGTTTTAGACTGCAGCTCTCAGAATCCCCCAGCCAGTTTTGCCCTTGAGATCAGTATTGACTGCATTGTGTGATTCAGCATGCAACAGATACTATCTATGGAGTTATTAATTTCAGCCAATTCACCTCCAAAGGTTTCAGCTTTTCTGTAGCTATAAAAGAGGAATTTGGCCAAAGAAACATGAGGGGTGCACTCAAAGCTACAAACATTTTTATCCTCTTGCTTTTCAGTATGAGATTAAAACATATTTTTAGTTTTTCCACCAGAACTGATGGGACTGTAAGGTGCTTTGCCTTGCCTAGATTGTGTCCTTGTTAATTTTATACTTATTCATAACTGTGTTGTGCGGTTATTACTTTCTTCTGGATCTGCTGTGTACAGAATGTATCTATCTTCTTACACTGCGGTCAAATATATTTGTAAAAAATAAAGAAAAAAGGAAGTCACCTGCAGCATATAGTAGCAATGAGGTGAGTTTATTTGATTGATAAGTACTATTAATGTTTTTATTAAACAGACATGAGGTCATTAAGAAAAGAAACTAACTTCCCTTAACATTAAACTATCATTCAGAAATATTGTTCTATTTTTTAAGGTGAGAGGAAAATTGCATTGGTTATGTTTTCAAGACAACCTCTGCTGCCTCCTTTCATGCCAAGTAAACAAGATCATCATGATAAATGGAATTACACTAAATTATGTGAGTTAATTTGTTCCCCAAAGAGCTGTGAAACAGAAATCTTACTGAATATATAGTCTATAAGGAAGTGTTTTCCAGATGTTTTCATTTGAAAATTTTGTACGATGTATCTTATATAGAGGAATAGTCTCAAACTGTTAATGAGCTGGATATATCTGAATGCATGGAGATGAAAGACAGCTTGGCAAAGCATTCTCTGACTTGGGAATAAATACTGTAGTTTCTATGGATGGAAAAGAGCAGATACGGATTAAATGGTTTTCAATGCATTCCTATGGGAAATGCAGATTCAACATAAGAACTTTTGAACTTGAGAACCACCTTCCAATACGGATTAAGTTCTTAAGTAGAGACCCCACTGTATCATAGACAATCAAATGAATAGTATGGTCCACTAAAGCTTGAGAAATATTTTATATTCCCCAGTTCGTAGCCCTCCAGGGCAGGGATAGAAGTAGGATTTAAATTTCTACAGAATTATAAAGTTCTTGTGTCTTATGTTTTATTTCAACAGAAAGTATTTTGTTTTCCACTATTGCCTTTTTGTTGGGTTTTCAGTGTCCAGTTTATACACCTTTTTCTTTTGGTATTATCATAATTGAACACAAGAGAAAATAGCACAATCCAGTGCTGCTGCAGCTGAATACACTGCTCCCTTTCCAGAGGCCTGAGGATCCAAAAGTAATTGCTACTACATAAATAATCTTCAAAGGCTGGAGAATGCTTTTGGGCTGCCAGTTGGCAATCCCTACCTTTGGGATAACACATATCCCAAAGCTTGTCATCAGGGTTGAAAGGGAAGTTGGGTTAGATGAGGAGTATGAAAGAGAGGAAGACGTACAGAATGCATTTTACTCTCAGTGTTTCTCCATTTAGAAAGTGGAAAACACTTCAATTTTCCGATATTAAAAATAATTTCAAGGAAAGAAGTGAAGGCTGAGGTATGGGAACTGCGTTCTTTCTCATTTCTTGAGTGTTCCAAAGCTATTTCTGTTGACAACAATATTTGTTTATATACCATTATTTTAGTAGAAGTATCCAGACAGAATCATAAAACCATATTAATATAGGTTGTTGTGGGGTTTTCTGGGCTCTTTGGCCGTGTTCTGAAGGTTGTTCTTCCTAATGTTTCGCCAGTCTCTGTGGCCGGCATCTTCAGAAGACAGCACTCTGTGCTCTCAAGATGTCCTCTGAAGATTTTTTTTATCATTTTTTTATTTTTTAACAAGAGGGATGACAGAAAGAAAAAGGGGAGTTGAGGTTAATGGGGAAAAGGAGAAACAATCACATACTAACATCCATTCTATACCTATTTCCATATCAAAATTCCATGTTACTCTGTTTACTCTTGCCTGCCTTCTAGGTTTAAGTTCTCATTTCAATATATGCTATTCATATGCCTGTTGATTCAGTCCACTTGTAGAATAAGTCCCATATTTCTGTTGCCTTTTGTAAAGGACAGTCCTTCATTACTTCTGATAAAATGTCCATTTCCGCTATTTCCCGTATCTTTTCGATAAGATCTTCTTGTTTCGGTATCGTCGGACTTTTCCAATTTTTGGCATAGAGGAGTCTTGCTGCAGTGACCATATATATAACTATATGTTCTTTTGACTTATCTATGTTGTCAGGTATCATACTCAATAAGAACAGTTCTGGGGTTAATGGCACCTTACAAAGCAATATTTGTTGCAACACAGCATGTACACTTTTCCAATACTGTTTTGCTACTCTACATGACCACCACATATGATAATACCTTCCCACATGTACTTCACATTTCCAACACATATTCGAAGATGCCGGCCACAGAGACTGGCGAAACATTAGGAAGAACAACCTTCAGAATACGGCCAAAGAGCCCAGAAAACCCACAACAACCATTAGATCCCGGCCGTGAAAGCCTTCATGAATACATATTAATATAATCAGGAAAAATGCAGTTGCAACAAACCACTTCATATAATAATAGCCCGGAAGTGCCATAAGTCTCTGGCAATGGACATAGCAAGACAGAGATTGATTAATTTTAACTGAGTGACTATTCTAGCGTCAAGGGTATAAAATGTTTATCAAGGAACATAAGTGCAAAGTGCTTAGGGTATTAAGGAGGGCAGTCACTTGTTGGTGATCCTTCTTTAATTAGCATCTGCTGAAGTCAGAAATGGAAATATGTGGATTCTAGATGGTTTGTTTTGTCCTAACCTTTATATCTCTTTATATCCAGAATTCACCTGGAACAAAGAATGTAGCTTCTTTCTGTACAAATTATTATAAATCCTTCCTGGCCTTTGATTTTTTTTATACTTGTTTCATCGCTTTTCTCGCCTTGATGTGGGTGCCTTTACAGAGAGGACAAAACAAGGAGAAAGTAATTCTGTGCTACAGAGCAGAACTTTAAAAAAATTAATAATATGAATGGAATGGAATTGTTAGATCTACAGCAGCAAAGAAGTTAATAGGATCTTCCTTGGAGGCTTCCAAATAGGTTTTATTTTTATAATTACATTTTATAGACTGCTTAAGAGCTCTCAAAGAAACATATTAAAATATAATAAAATTTAAGCCTTGTATACAATTGCAATTCAGATTTTAGCATGAAAGTACAAAAAGAACTGTAGATATTAGAAATTCAACATTTGTTTGGTTGGTCATATATTTTATGGTGTGGTGATGTTGTTTAAACTATTACACATCAAGGAATAGTGTATTGTTACAGGGTGCTAAATATTGCTGAATATTCTTCTAAGAGACATTAAATCAGAGGTGGACAGTTTATGGACCCCCAGATGTTGTACTGCAACTCTTCTTCATCTGACTATCAGCTCCGCTGACTAGATCTAATGGAAATGGCAGTCGGACACCATCTGGATAGCCATCCATCTTCTCAGCCATCTATTAGATGCATCTCTCTAAAATGTATCTGCATAGCTTATGGCAATATGGTGCTAAGACAGCTACCTCCTCAATGACCCAAGACAGTGCAGGGGCACAGAGTGTGCTTGCCTTAAAAGGATTTTCAGGGAGCATTTCTTGTCACACAGTTCTAGCAGGCAGGATTAGTCAGGGCACAGTTGCTATGGAAATCTCAAACTCTTTAGGGCTGCCTTGTGTCTTCCAAGACTGCATCCTTTTAATTATGTTTGTGTGTTGGCTGCCTTTATTGCTTTAATGATGTTGGCAAAGATAGCATCATACAAATGGCTTGGTGAATGTATGATTTGCATATGAATGCTATTGTTTTATTACATTGGTTTTTCCTTTTATAACCAATTGTGTTAATTCAGCTACTTGACTGAAGCAGAAAAGGAGTGAAGTGCCTATGAAACAGTTTTGGCAAATATATACTGTATATCAGATTTTAAAGAAATTCTCCTGTCAGACTGAATGTGAGTGTCTGATCAATTTTAAATAGCCATCGA